AATGTTTTTTTTTTTTTTTTTACACAATAAATAAATTTTCAACTTTAAACTTGTGTATACGTTTTGTTTTAGTTCCTTGTATTTATTAATGAAATTAAAAAATATGCTGATTTTTTGCATTTTTTCACTTAAAAAAATAGGTAAGAAAAGCGTTTAGTATAAGAGGGTTGTTACTGACTATAACTATAACTAATGCGTAACATTGGTCACCTTCGGACGTGATATGAACTCGCTCATGTCGTCAGTAATGTCCAGTTCGATAGACGGTCTACATTGAACAGCTGACTTGCTATGTGAGACTGCGTTATCGTCCTCATTTCGCTGTTGCTTCTCACAACGGGATCGTGCACACACTCGACTGGTAATAGCAATACAGGAGCGTCCACACGCACAGCCATAAGCTTAGTACAATTTTCACGGCAAACGCTCATAATACGGTGAACTTAATACAGCTCTCACCACAAACGCTTCGCAAATACGGCAACTAGTGGTATCCGTACATCGAATTCTATCTCTGATAAAATTCTGGGGGGGTGGGACTATTGTGGGGTAACTACCGTTACGATAATTAAACATCGATTCATTAACATATAAGACATGCTAACTCGATTCGAATTTGAGATAACTTCCGATTGATCGGCATTGTCGATATCTCATATCCCCACAATATCTATGATTTCAGGGTTACTCAATAAAATACTAAAATTAAAAATTTCTATGAATTTTTTTTATGTATAATTTCATTTATTCATTTAGTTTTTTTTAATATATTAATGAAATGTTCTTTCTTTCTTTGACAGCGGAGAAAAAAGGGAGAAACATAACGTTATAAAGCGTGCATGGAGATGTGGAGTACAGCAGGATTATGACTTATATTTAGCGATAATGGTAACTAAAAATACAGACTTTATATTGTTAATAGAATAGTTTTTGGGACAGCAATCAATACGCTGTATGTTAGCAACTGCCAGCGGTGTGCGATATCACAAAGCGTTTTGAATTTTTATTTATTTATATATTTTTTAAGTTAACTTCACAAGTCTATCTAAAAAGAGCCAAGCGCAAAGTATCCGTTAAAATTTCAAAATATTTTACGAAGATTAAAAAGTGGACTGTAAAATTTTACTATAGTTCACTATAGATTGTCCGCAACGAAGAACGATAGATTTTCAATTGATATCCATAGTTTTATTATAGGACGCTCACTATAGCTATCATCGAAGAACGAATAAGTAATAATTATCGAAACACAATATAAGAAACGGTCGCCAAAGAGGCGAAATATCTTTCACGTGGCGACAACAACAAATTTAGATCAATGACATTGAACAAAAATAATAATTATTACTAATACAGCCTAATTTGTTAAAGAACATTTTTTTTAATCAAATAATGTTGAGGTTTACGAATTTAATTAATGTAAGAAATATAATTTTAAAAAAATTTATGAATTTCAAAGCTATAAATGTCGTGTTTTTTTTTCCTTCCTATTTTGGTTTTCTTAACACAAATTATTTCTCTTTTTTCCCACTTCTTTATTTTCTCTCTCCAATAACTGCTAATATATTAAATATATTTGGCACATTGGTTTACTAACACAAAATGGCGGAAAGGACGCTTTTTTAATTTAATTTGTCCCTTCACAATAGTTTAGAATCTGAAAAAAAATATATATATATACCTGTTATATCTAATTTAGATATAACAGGCTTTTTTCTTTTTTTTTTTTTTTTTTTTTTTTTTTAATAATTATTTATTAAAGTAACAAGGCTTATAAAAAAACATAATTCATACTTCATTAAAATTTTTGAAATGAAGAGCCATGACTGAACATTAAATTTTGTGAAAATATCCAGACATAATTTTTACAATTAGAAGATACCCTTTTTCAGCCGGGAAGAAAATAAACGATTCTTTCCTACTACCTACTCAACGCATGCAATCTTTAGAAAAACAATAAATAGTGCTCTTTTCGGCTTTTCAGTACTTTTTCATTTCGCCAGTGCGGCCAATAAAGTCGCCAATGCAGCTAATAAAGTCGCCAATATCACCGAGCACAAGTAATTATTATTTTTTTTTTTAAATAAAATAGGTAAATAAATAAAATATCTGAATTTACTTGCGCTTTCTAATGGAAAAGTACCCCTTTTCCGAATGTAAAGTAGTTCCAATTCCCTAAAATTATAATTATTATTATTTTAATTTTAAAGTGACTTCATATTAGCAACAGTAATTTTATAGAGATTAGTTAAAACTTTATTTTCATTTAACATTAGCTAAAATTATTCCTAAAGTATTTTTGCTGTTAAGATTGTACTGCAGAAAATCACCAGTTGAATATAGAATAATAGTTGAATGTAGAATCGGTATAAAAGTTGTCGTTTATTTTTAGCTGGGTCAGCTGCTTTAAAGCTAAATGAAAACTTAAGTTGATAAATATCCTCAGTTCTGTGTTTATAGATTTACCACCAGGAGAAATACCCCCAAACATCAGAGGAGTGGATGTCGGTCTCAATGCAAACAGCATTATTCCATTTTAGGTGAAGAAAAACAAATTTTCCCATTCGGCGCATTTGTTTGTTGTTGTTGTTTCTAATGCCGCTTGCCACAAGGGCAAGCCTGCTTCCTGAAACCGAGCAAATTTAAGGCAGAGTGTGCGTTTCTTGTTTTTCAGTGGCGCCATCCTATGGCCAAGAATTCGTCTTCAGACGCACACACGCCACAGCCCGTTTTATAAGGCGGACCCATTCACACATCCATTCATTCATCCACAGATCGTAATTTTGACACCTGAATCAGAGAACGATCGATCTCCAATCCAGTACCTCCAGAGGTATCCATTTGGTACGGGAACATGAAGGAATTAGCGACTCGACAGATTTAACGTGCATCAGTCACCATATACTACCAACACCTCCTAGAAAAGAGCAGGCCTCAGCACGTGTTACCATAAATATCCTTTAGTAGTCCAAACGTAATGACATATTTTGTATTTTCAACCACTGCGCAGCTTAGTAACCCGAACGTAAAGCAATCTTTCTTATTTTTCATCTACTGCGCAGTTAACTTCGTCACATCGGACTACTAAATTGATCCGTGCTGAGGCCTTCATTCTAGGAGGTGTTGATACTACACGGGGAGTCTTCGGCCGGCTGGATTCGAACCCGCGAACTCTCGGACATGGGCCCAGCGCCCTACCGACCAGGCTATCTCGGCCTGTTCGGCGCATTTAGACTGACGTAACGAAACGAAACCCAAAAAAAGAAGCAGATGTAATAATGAGATTATTACCAGTGAAAATTCGTTTCTCAACCCACAATCAAATGCAGACCACAATCAAGTTTGTTCGCCATCTTAAAAGAAGTCCATACCGGGGAAGAAAATTTCGTTGCAAATTCTGTTTCTCCTTTATTACAAATTTAAAGGAAAGAAAAAGTAAGTACAGACAAATCTAAAATAAGCCATGAAGTTTCAATTACTGAAAAAAAAAGGTTTCAAAGCATTAAAATTCAAACAAATTCAAACAAATTTCAAAATTCAAACATCCTAAGTTATCATCTCATAATTTACTTTCAATTGTAGATTTTAAAGTTTTCTTTTCAGTATTTGAAACTTCATGGCTCTATAGGTTTGTCTAAATTCACTTTTTCTACACTTTAAATTTTAAATTAGTAATCAAGGAAAAAGAGACTTAGCGACGAAAATTTTTTTACGAGGTCCTCTTGAGAGGACGCCTTAACATGGCGAAACATTTTCGTAGCAAATTCTCTTTCACGTCCTAAAACTAATTTTTTTTAAAAGAAAAAAAAAAGTTGTTTTATTAAAAGTGAGTTCAAACAAACCCCTAGGGTAAGCCATGAGGTTTCAAATTCTGGAAAGAAATTTTTTAAATATCAAAATGAAAATGAATGATGAGGTGAAGTTCTCTCCCAACAATTTGGTAGCATTTTGAAGTTTTCTTTCAGCAAATTGAAACTCGATGGCCGACTCTTTGTTTGTCGGAACTCATTTTCTCTTTCTCTCTCTTTTTTTTTTTTTTTTTTTTTTTTTTTTAAAAAAAGGAAAAAAATTAATAACGGAAGTGAAAAAGAATTTACGACGAAAAGTTTCTCCCATGGTATGGCGTTATCTAAATGTGTGTGCGTGTGCGTGCGCGTGTGTGTGCGTGCGCGTGTGTGTGTGTCACCGTGAATGACCGAACTCAAGAGAATGACGATTTTCACCGGTGAACGGTGAATATCGGGAATATTTGTTATATCCGATTTGATATTAATTTATTCGTTGATATAATTATATTAATTCGATATTCGTTTTATTATTCATTATTCGTATACGTTATTCGTTCGCTATTCGTTATTTATTATTTATTCGTTCGTATATCTGCTGAGGATAGATTAGGAGAAACATCAGTGTTCGGAGTACCGGTTAAATACATACCGGGCAGTGGCACTTGACCTTAAAGAAGTATTGATACCCGGCAATGGCACTGGATCTTAAAACTTCAGAGTAGAGAATACCGAGCAAGTGTATACCGGGCAATAACACTTAACTAGACCTAGTATTATCGCTTAAACACACACACGCGCAGGCGCACACTCTTTCTTTTCCTTTTTGTAAATAAAATAACTTAATTGTATTCATTTAGCCGTCACAATGTAAGAAAACAAGTTATGTAAGTTTTTGCAGTTTTCGGCTGAAATTACTCTCAACGACAGAAAGCTTATGAGGGTCACCCTGTATCACCACTGGACTGGTGAATCGCCCTAAATAAGCTGGTATCACAACATCCCAAGATTCATCTTGGATTAGAGTCTCGACCAGCATTTAGTGCCAACTGACCAAGGGTTGGGAATTGCGATGGCTTGGGTTTTTCTCCTGACGGTACATCAGTATTTATGTTTATCCACTTTTATCAAGGGCGAATGTTGTCATCGTTTCAGAGATGCAGACAAGATGGGGAAAATCTAGTTGATGAGCGCAACAGATTGATTAGAAGGTTGCGAGAAGAACAGATGTCCAACATCAATCTAAGGAAAGAAGTTAGAGGCATGGAAAAAGAGATTGAAACGATGGGTCAGAAAAACGTTCAGAAATCATGCATCATTGATGGCTTACAAGTAAGTCACGAGGTGGTATGCATAGGGCAAAATTAGCCAGCTGTAGCATTTTTAACAGTAGCCATTTTTAAAAACACGAAGCCACTTTGATAAAAAAAAAATCAAGTTTAAACTTGATGATAGTAATATTTAATTTTATAATTGATGATAGTAATATTTAATTTTATAATCGTCGTTGAACAGCAAACCCAATGCTGAGTTTACGACTACCAATGTTCAACTCCGTATCCTCGTAATTTTGATCCCAATCCAGAAGACAAGGGAGCTCCTGGATTATTCCCAGAGGTATTGATTTGCTATGGGCACATGGAGGACTTTGTGCCCGGACAGATTTAACATGCATCAGTCACCATTTAGTTCAAGGGGAGTCTTCGGCCGGCGGGGATCGAGTCCACGATCTCTTCGACATGGGCCTAGTGCTCTACCAACCAAGCTATCCCAGCCTGTGACATTAATATTGTAATATCTTTCTTTCTGGGCATTTCTTAAAATATGGTAAACATTAAAGTTTCATTTAGTAGATTAACGATGTCAAGCATTTCTCTTAGCTGTCGCTGAGCGATTGGGTGACCACTATGATCAGCCTGCGAAGAATACGAGAATGACTGGTATCAGCCTCGCTAAATTGTTGTATCCGTAAAGTGTTCGATTACGCGAACTACCAAAGCGGGGGAGAGATTCCCTCTGCTGTGAATAAAAATTGCGTTGACGAGTCTTTGGATCATCCTTTGGGATGTTTCCAAGACCATCGCCAATAGCTAATTGTGCAGCTCTAGTTCAACGTAAATAAAGCACCACTAAAAAGAGGAAAATTTAAGAAATAAGAGGGAAATTTTCAGAACATTTTAAAATATTCGGAATAATTCATCCTTTATTCAACATAATGCTATCAATAATGTGCAAATCGGGTACATTTTCAACGAAAAAAAAAATCGGCAGCTGGTAGACAATTTTTAAATCGCCATTTGTTACGTTTAGTTTCCCTATGGCCTTGCGGCAATCGTTGATTTTGCTCTATTGTGGAAAGATTAAGAGGATTAAGATTTTTTTTTTTTTTTGTTAAATGAGTATAATATTGTTAAATATCTTTCAAATAATGAAACAAATGTCTTTATTTCTATGAGAACTTAATTTAGGCTGAATTTCGAGTGATACTAAAATTTTAATATTTTTTTTCAACCATAGAATAACGTATTCGAAAAAAGAAAAAAACTCTCTAATGATAATAAAGAATAAACTGTATGAAACCAGAATAAGTATGTTACACAAACGGGCTCCAGTGGCACAATCGATTAGCTCACATTGTTACTGGAAAGCATGGGAGTCATGAATTCGATCCTGATGGCCGGCTGTGTTTATACAGTAAGGTGCATGTTGTTTCTCCCATGGCTTGGTTTGGAGAGGGGAAACACCAGATCCGGTCCCAGATAGCAAAAAATAAGGATTATTTTCATTCAGCAAAAACCTGTTAATGTAAACCTAAAAAAGGTTTTACTGTTTACGTGTAAACCTTCTAATCTCAAAACGAGATCTGTCACACTCTGCTCTATTCTACTCACATTACCCTAATCCAAAAACTTTGAAAAACAACCTTCTGTATAAAAACCTTAAATCAAGGTTGTCTTAGCGTGAAAAAAAACCTTTAATTAAGCTAGTCTCAAGGTGAAAATAATCTTAAATCTAGGTAATTAAGGCTTCTTTTTGCAACGTCTTGTACGCTCAGATAAAATCCACCTTGTCATGAAATTTTAATGGAACAATGCAATCTGATTCAATAGCTAGTGTGACGTCAGCTAATACGTCATTACGGACCTTGTTGTAGTTTATTTACGTCGCACTAGAGCTGCACAATGGGCTATTGGCGACGGTCTGGGAAACATCCCTGAGGATGATCCGAAGACAAGCCATCACAATTTTGATCCTCTGCAGAGGGGATGGCACCCCCGCTTCGGTAGCTCAACGACCTGCACACGAAGTCGATCACTTTACGAGAGACCAGTTTGACGAGGACCGATACCGCACACCCTCGGTCCCTACGCAGACTATTCCAAGTGGTCAGCCACCCGTACACTGACCGCAGCCAGTGATGCTTGACTTCGGTGATCTGCTGGGAACCGTGTCGTAACGACCAGTCCACTGCGGGACTCATTATGGACCTAAGTAACCATTTTACTTAAAGTGACAAAACTTGTTAAAAAATGCTTTTAAAAAAATAGTTTTTAATCCTTTTAAAATTAAAGGTTTGAAACTGCAATATTTTTGTTTTATGGAAAAAAGGTTTTTAGTACAAACATTTTCGTGGCGACAAAAAGAAAATTCCTACACAAGGTTACCGTAAGGTTGCATGCTTTCTAGCGTGCGATCCATCGTCGCTGTCAGACAGGGGATCAAAATATCTTTGAATTCTCATTAAGGCTGCTTAAAAATAGAGTTAATAGATTTAAAAATAGAGTTCTCAAACACGGGAACCATTGTTGGGCTGTGAAGATATTTCAAATATATTTTCTTTTAATTAGCATTCAANGTAGAACAGTTTAACGAGGACCCATACCGCACACCCTCGGTCCCTACGCAGACTGTTCCAAGTGGTCAGCCACCCGTACACTGACCGCAGCCAGTGATGCTTGGCTTCGGTGATCTGCTGGGAACCGTGTCGTAACGACCAGTCCACTGCTGGACTCATTATGGACCTAAGTGACCATTTAAGTGACAAGACTTTTTAAAAATGCTTTAAAAATAATTTTTAATCCTTTTAAAATGAAAGGTTTGAAACTGCAATATTTTTGTTTTATGGAAAAAAGGTTTATAGTGCAAACATTTTCGTGGCGACAAAAAGAAAATTCCTACACAAGGTTACAGTAAGGTTACATGCTCTCTAGCGTGCGATCCATCGTCGCTGTCAGACAGGGGATCAAAATATCTTTGCATTCTCATTAAGGCTGCTTAAAAATAGAGTTAATAGATTTAAAAATAGAGTCCTCAAACACGGGAAGCATTGTTGGGCTGTGAAGATATTTCAAATATATTTTCTTTTAATTAGCATTCAAAAAATATGTAAAATAGTTTTTAGATTTTGATATAAACATTAAAAAAAGAGTAATAATAATGAAGAAAAATATGCGATTTTAACTAAGGAATTTTATTTTAAGGTGATAATAGTAAAAAGTAATGCTGAAGACGTTGTTTTAATTCAAAAATATAAAATTGTTACTATCCTATTTTTTTTTTTTTTTTTTTTTTTTTTTTTTTTTNATCCTATTTTTTATCAAAAGCAGCAATTGATAATAAATAAAAATTAAAATAACAGCAATTTTTTCAGATGAAAAAAAATATTTCGTTTAAGATGTGTGCATTTTTTTATGAGAGAAAAAAATTCAATAAAATTATAAGCATTTTAAAAAATTAGAGGAAAAAATGATCTTTTGGGAAATAGAACTTCAAGACAAATATGTATAGGTATATATACTAGGGCTGTATGGTAAGGGCAGTATGAAAATTAAAACCAAACGAAAGAAAATTTTCATGTATATATAAATGAAACTGTAGTATATCCATTCATGTACTTTTATTTGGGCTGTATTCAAGGTGTTTTCGCTTAAGTCTGAATATCGCAAATTATACCCTTTGGCAGGGATAGCGAACCTTTATTCACCAACGTGCCATTTTCTCTAAAAAATTGCTTAATGAGGTCATAGACGTGCCGTCAAATAATTTTACTTCGTGATAATTGGGAAAATAATAATACTAATTACTATCAACTCAAAACTCTTGATTTACATTGAAAAAAAAAAAACATTTTGCAATATCTCAGTTATACGCGTTATTCAACTTTCAAGTAACATCAGTGTGACTTCTGTTGTTGCAGATTAGATGACAAATAACTTATATTAGGTTATAAGATGTTAGTTTAATAAGAACTGCTATTTTTTTTGGCTAGTTATTTATTGTTAGCTCGTTTTTTATGGTTATTAGTTGTTTTTTTATCATTAATTTTTTATTTTTTTATTAATAATTGTGTATTATTTTGTTTATTTTTTGTGAATTTTAATTTAATTGTTACATGTGCTTATTCATAGTGTAACAACAATTGTGATCGGTGGAGTGCCCAAAATATTGTGTCGCGTGGCATAAATGGCACGCGCGCCATTGGTTCGCCATCCCTGCCCTATAGTTTGTTGGATATTCTGTTATTATCTAGACCAGTGTTTCCCAAAGTGTGGTACGCGTACCCCAAGGGGTACTGGAACAGTTTAACGGGGGTACGAGTTCTTATGCGAAATATCTTTTAATAAACGAAAATTTGAAAAAATTTTATTCAGAAACAAAGCTAGCCATGAAAATTTACGATGACGTATTTTTCTATTAGTTACTTTTTGCAGAGTTAACAGTTAATAATTAGTAGTGTCAACAGCCAGTAGTGATTTTTAACTTTTGTACAATTTTTTAATAGTAAAAAATACATTCATTTTTTATTAGTGGTACACAGCGTTACGAAAAATTTAGAAAGGGTACACAATAGTCATAAGTTTGGGAAACACTGATCTAGACCATTGTTTCTCAACGGGGGCGGTGGGAGTATGCCGAGGGGCGGTGGACTTGTTTTGGGCGGTAGGGGGGCGATGAGCATGTTTTGGGCTAGGGGGGCGATGAGCATGTTTCGTTATTCAAGTTTAACTTTATAACTCCCAAATAAAATTATTAAATTAAGATTTATATAATAAATAAAATTAATCTAAAATTAATATTAAGGAAAAAGGATTAAATTAATGTAATAAACTAAGATTATCTGATACACCATTTGTACCACCAATGAAACGAACTTATGCTCCGATCCGAACCAGCACAGCGTAGCGCAGGAGTCAATAGTTTTTGCCTCTGACTCATTCAAGCCATTTAGTGAAAATTGAAGTGCATGCGCTTTTAATATGAATGCTCGATTTGACCCGAGTTTCTTATGATGGTTTTCGTTCGCTTCAATTAAGTTTTTCCTCAGTTTCAATTCGATTTTATTCCTTATTTGGCCAGGTACGTGGGTGAATTAGTTCTTTATCGCAAATTATTTATTAATTTGAAGAATTGGTAGATTTTCTTTTATCGTTGTATTTTGCTGCCATCAACAATGTCGGTTAAATAAGTGTCGTCAATACAGTGTCGCGTACTTGAAGTTTGGATTTGCTCAATCGCTGTCAAACTCTCAACTACCCATGTGTTTATTTTATAACAAAATTTTATCTAATGTGGCAATGGAAACTTCTCATTAGTTGGAGCATTTGCAAAAAATTCATCCTGACAAACAAATGAAAGATTTGTCGTTTTTTCGAACATCAAAGTCAAGTTTCTGAAGGCACCTGCTGTCTCAGTCTTACTAGCAACCTCATCACAAAAATGCGACGAAGGTTTGATTGCCTTTTATAATATATCAAAATTAGTTTCTAAATTTGGGAAAGCTCATACCATCAGCAAAGAGTTGATGCTCCCGGCTGACGAGGAAGTTTTAGAAACAGTTTTACACCATCCAGCTGCAGCAAATTTAGTCACAAATATCCAATTAAGCAACGATACAGTGCTGTGACGAATTGATGAGATGGCTGAAGAGGTTGATGTCACCGTATACAAACTTTCGATATCCAACGAATTTTCCTTTCAAGTTGACGAATCAACCTTGCCAAGTAGTGTAGGCCTTACTGTTGGCGTGTGTCCGGTTTGGGAAGGAAAGAAAAATTATTGAGGAGATGCTTTTTGCTTTATTGTAGATACCAAAGGTGAACCTATTCTCAATGCTGGCAAATATTATTATAAAGAGCAAAACATTCCTCTTGTGAATTTTGTCTGCCGTCACTGACGAAGCTTCTGTAATAGTGGATTGACAGGGTGGGTTTATCGCCGTTTTAAAGAGGGAGTTATCAGATATTTTAGCTGTTCACTGCGTGATTTACGGACAGCATTTAGTATGAAAAAATAAAAGCGACAGTTGACACCAGTCATAGCAATGTGTTATACCTACTGTGAACAAAATTAGCAGTAATGCTCTCAAAGATTGATTATTCAAACAGCTATGTACGAAAAACGATGAAGAATATCACTTGCTCCTATACACCGAGATTCACTGGCTTTCCAAAGGTGCATGTCTCAATAGGTTTTGGAATCTTTTCGACTCTGTTCTTGAGTTCCTCGAAGACAGAGCTGTATCTCTATTATTTGCAAAGATGTTATTTGCTAAATTTAATGGCTTTAATTTACAACTTCAAGTCAACGAGCTCAATTTGATCCCTACAAAATCATCTATTTCTTCCTTTCTAAGAAAACTCATTTTGTGGAGGCAGAATTTTGGTGAATGAGATCAGCCAATTTCCAATCTTATCATATCTTTAAAAGAAAGACGAAATTACCTCATGATGCACAAGAATATTGTCAACACCTTGACTCTTTGCACATGAACTTTTCTGACTATTTCCATGATGTTTTGTCCCTGGAAGTCCCTCAATGGGTTATGAACCCTTTTGTGAATATTGAAACAACAGAGGTTTAAATTCAGGAGGAATTGGTTGAACTTTAAACTAATGAAACTTTGAAATGGTGATCGTCTCACAAAAGTTTGGCTTCAAGGTAACGTCAGTCGCCTTTACCCTAGACTGTGAAGTATCGCCTAATTTTTTTTAAATCGGCTTTCCCTTCTCCACCGTTTCGAACGTAGATTCAGTGCTATCTAGTCACAAAAAAGAGAAATCGACTCGAGATCGTGCTACAAAGGGACTTGCGTATTCACCTTACTAAAAATATTGAACCGAACGTAATACTGATATAGTTACTTGATTGATTCGTTGATACTACTTTTTGATGTAAAAAATTATTTTTGGGTGTTTTTTTTTATTATTTAATTAAGAATAAATGATTATTTTTGTTGTATTTTTTTTTTTTTTAATTTTCGTTACCGTATTTATTTGATTATGACAAATAGACTGCGATTACCTGCCGGGATAAAAGTATCGAGTTAACGTACATATTAATTAAAAGAAACAAGAAAATCAAACAAATTTAACGCGTAAAAAAACTGGATTTTCCCAAAGGGGGGCGTTGAAATGATTTTTGCTCCTTAAGGGGGCGGTAACGTTAAAAAGGTTGAGAATCTATGATCTAGACTATACATTATACGCATTCGATTGTTTCATCAATTTACCGAATAAAAACTTTATTAAAATCATTTCCTCCAATAATTTTTTTTTCTGTTGGATGGCCAAAGCTTTAATAAAGTCTAACAAAAAAAAAAAAAAAAAAAAAAAAAAAAAAAAAAAAAAAAAAAACATGTCATGTGTAATTTTCTTTTCATATTTTTATATACATTTCGGATGGATATGAAAAATTTTCTAACAAAACAAAAGCAAAAAAACCATTTTAATACTGTAAAATGTCGGATCAATTAATTTGATAACAATATTACTTTAAAAACCTCATGCATCGTTTTTTTTTTTTTTTTTTTTTTTCAGGAAGTAGATGAGATGAAAAAATGTACTAGAATCCTGAACTCGGACAAAAAGAGCTATTTGCAGATAGAGGCGAATGATACCCGTGAAGAAATGATAGCCCAGCTAAGATGTGATGTTTCTTTACTCAGAAGCAAATTGGAAACAGACAAAGAATTACTAACTATTTTGATGGTATACTTACAATCATAGGCTTGTGGGGCACATGCCCCTCGATAGTTTTTCAAAACTCAATACTAAACTTAAGTTATTACTTAAAAAAACGCAAATTTTTTTTTTTTTTTGAACCATGGTGGCTTAGAGGTTAGAGCGTTCGCCTTCTAGTGAGGTTAGCCGGGTTCGAATCCCAGAGATATCTGGTCGATCTGAATTTCGCACCTGGCTCGCACCGACCACTGTGCTGACGTAAAATATCCTCATTGGCAGACGGATCATGCGTTAGATTCTCCTTGCAGCCAGGCTAACCGTGGAAATTTCTCTCTCCATGCAACTCAATTGCCGGTTAGTTCGTTCAAAAAGTCCTCCGCGAATGCAAATTTCTTCCAATTCATGATCCAGGAATTTCCTTGTCTTCTGGATTGGGTTCACAATTACAAGTCTACGCAGTTGAACATTAGTAGTCATAAATCCAATATCGGGTCGGCGGTTCAACGACGGTTATAAAAAAAATGCTTTAATTTATTGAAAAAATAGTATATTCAGATAGTTTATTAATAATTTAACGAAATAATTCTATATTTATCACTTTTCGGCATAAGTGGTATCTTAAAAACTATTTAGTGAATTGTTTTTTTAATTGTTCCGATCATTACTTAACGATTTTTATACTGTAATCGATAAGTATTAATATAGCTTATAATTGTGGTTATTAGTTCTTTAGTTTTATTTATGCACTATATATAATTTTTAATTACAATTATTTTCTGCTAAGCCGAGAAGGCCCAGGGGATAGAGCCTTAGCCTTCCAATGAGGTAAACCGGGTTCGAATCTCAGCGATGGCTGGTCGATACAAATTCCGCATCCAGCTTGCACCGACCACAATGCTGACGTGAGATCTATCCCAGTGATAGACGGATCATGGGTTAGAGTCCCCGTGCCGTCTGGTTATCCTTGGGAGGGTTTTGTGGTTTTCCCCCTTCCTTATAACCCAAATGCTGGTTAGTTTCATTAAAAAGTCCTCAGCGAAGGCAAATTTCTCCCGGTACTTGATCCAGGAGTTCCCTTGTCTTCTGGATTGGGTTTAAAACTACAAAGCTGCGGGGTTGAACTTTAGTAGTCGTAAACCTAAAATTAGGTCGGCTGTTTAACGACGGTTATAAAATTATAAAATATTTTTTGTTAATGTGATTGATTTTAGTTTCGTTTTAAGATATATTTGTTTTATAGCAAGAAATAATTTCCAGCTTGTTTTGACCTTTAAATTTTCATTCGGATGAAATTTTTAGGTAAAATGTGATAAAGTAATTATGTTTAATTTTCTGATAATTTTTAACCAATAAGTTCCCTTTCATATTAAACATTTTTTGCAATATTGATAAATTTGAAATGTAACGTGCCAATTTTCAATATGTTTCTATAGAATGTGTTCTGGATTATTTTATTTGATTATCACTAATGCTTTAAAACATTAAAAAGTGTCACATTATTGCACGCAGTAAAAATGTTATTGTTTTAAATTTTAAAGGAATTTCACATCAAGGAATCACACAATTAAATAATAAATCAAGTACATTATGGTGGATCTGATTTTCTCGTATGCTTGCAAGAAATAGTTAAAAAAAGAATTAATTCAGTAAAAACTTGTTCGCGTTTTGGAGTCTGTGGGGGGAAGTGATAAATAATATCACTAACTACAAGTCTAGACTAATTTTAATCATGCTGCTCTTTTATTAAAAATAAATTTCATAATAATTAGAATTGCATCAGGCTTTGTAATATTTTTCAACCACAGCTTTATGTTTGATAATAAAAACAAGTAATATATAAGAAATTTTTTTTAAAGTCAATCGTTAAGTCAATTAGGTCAACAAGGAAAATTTTTTATTTAGTTCCTTTTTAATGATTAATTTAAAAAATTTTTCTAAATTTAAGCCTAAATCTAGTCTAAAATTAATTATTTAAACTGATTAATGAATTAATATTTGAAAAAAGTGTATAAACATCAAGCGTCATCCAGTGCAAGTTGGACTCGCATTCGTGAGAACGGGAGTTCGCAACCAGCCAGGGGAAAACTCCCCGTGTGGTAAATGGTGACTGGTGCAGGTTAAATCTGTCGGTCATAAAGTACTCCATGTTCCCGTAACAAATTGTTCCTCTGGGGGTACTGAATTGGAGATTGATCATTCTTTGGTTCAGGTCAAAATAACGATCAGTGGATGAATGAATGGATGCATGAATGGGTAAGCACTATAAGCAGGTGTGACGTATGGGTGTAGCAGAAGTTGAATTCTTGGCCATAGATGGCGCCACTGGAAAACAAGAGCAATCGCACCCCATGCGTCCATTTCCATTAAATCAAGTCGGCCATTAAAACAAGCGGCCATATGCTTTAATGGCCGACGACGGCAACAACAACAACAGAAGGAGATAACCAATAACACCCTCGAACATACATTGAAACTACACCACTGGTTAACAGACACGAAAACTGAATTTATTCTCTTCCAACAGCCACATAAAGATGAACTTAAGGATTTACTGGATACCACAAAGCTGGAAGAACATCAGAAGAGACATCTTCAAGAGATAGTGATGCATACTCACATGAGAAGAATCAGAAAATTTCATTGGGAATTCGGTCGACTTCTTATCAGATGTCAAGAAAAAAGAACATGGATAGAAGAATCTTTTCAGGTAATGTTATCATGAAATCCACTAGCTAAAGTATCGTTGTGGTAGTTCATTTACGTCGCACTAGAGCTGCACAATGGGCTGCTGGCGACGGTCTGGGATACACCCCAGAGGATGATCTGAAGACACGCCATCGCAAATTTTGGGATAGCATCTCAAATTCGATAGCCCGACAACCTGAGTACGAAGTCGAGCACTTTATGGCAGAACAGTTTAACGAGAACCAATACCGTACACCTACTCAGACTGATCCAAGTTGTCACCCACCCGCACACTGACCGCAGCCAGTGATGCTTGACTTCGGTGATCTTCTGGGAACAGTGTCTTAATGATCAGTCCACTGCTATACAATCAGATACAATTTCTTTTAAATCTTACGGTAGAGCCGTGATGGCTATGGGGATGGAGCACTTACCTATTAAAGAGGTAAACCGGGTTCGAATCCCAGCGATGGATGATCGATACGAATTCCGCATCCGGCTTGCTCCCGACCACAATGCTAACGTAAAATATCCTCAGTGGTAGACTGATCATGGGTTAGAGTCCCCTTGCCGTCAGGCTAACCGTGGAAGGTGTTCGTGGTTTTCCTCTCCATGTAACGCAAATGCGGGTTAGTTCCATCAAAAAGCCCTCCACGAAGGCAAATTTATCCCAATACTTGTTCCAGGAGTTCCCTTGTCTTCTGGGTCCGGTTCAAAATTGAAAGGCTCAAACACAAAAATTGGATCGGCTGTTCAACGACCGTTATAAAATAAAATAAATCTTACGTTAATTGAGAAGAGAATTTACCAGTGAACATATGAAGAAGCCAAGCTCAAATATCCATAGATAATTTTTTTAAGACATCTCTTTTTTTCGAACAAAATTATTTAAGCTATTATAACATTGCATTATTAATAACTTAACCTCGTGCCCCCATTTCAAGTTACCTGTTATTTCTGCAATATTGGAAAAACAATCTTTTCTAAGCTTGAATTAAATTGTTATGTCTTCTAATTATAATGTTTTTCGAAAATAGAAACTGAATTCAACAAGTGCTGCCAAGCACGAAGAAATTGCAAAAGATGAGTAAGTTTAAATTTTTAGTGAAATTAAAAATAAAAATAAAAAGATTAGTTAACAACGAGTGATAGTTATGTCTTAATGTCTTCTACAGGTGTTAACCCTTTTACGCAGAATTTTGAAACACATTTTTCATACTGTTTCTCGATATTTTGTATGAACTTAAAAGTCAAAATAAGTGAAAAATATCATATTTCGAATTAAAAAAATTTATAGTTATTAAATACAGCATGAAACACCGGTGTCTCTTTTTTGCATCAGAGGTAAAATCTTCCAAACAATGATTTTTCAAATTTGCATTTATTTGCAGTTATTTAGATCTAAGAGAAACAGTTACTCATCATCGAAGTTTCTATCATTTACAAAATCAATTCTTGATAAACTTTTGAATATGAAATGAAAAAATTCCAACCATTTAGAATTTATATTTTAATACAAAATTCCGGAAATCTAACAGATTTTTTTCTAGTAAATATTAGACTGTTATAAAATGAAATAAAATATAAAATCAATACGAAAATTTCTTAATGTACACTGGTGTGCAAAACTTAAGCAACAAGTGGTTTTTCGGCCACAGCTCCCCAACAAAGTATAAGATAGCCATGAAATTGCAGTATAATATGCACGTAATTCAGTAGAAAGATTATTTGTATGCAAATTTTAGAAATAAAACGTCGTAGGTGATGTAAGTGTATGTAAACTTTGTGGGTCGGCGCGCGCAGGTCAAAGCTGTGATAAAAGGATGAAGAGCACCGTAATAAAGACATTCGCTGTAAGTGCAAGCGATTTGTTTTGTGAAACATGTCTTCAAGAAATCATTTAGACGACTTTACTCGAGGAAGACTGACTGGGAAGCTTGAGGAGGGGCGTAGTTTGACCAGTGTCACCGAAGAGTTCGGGATCAACAAAAGTGTTGTTTCTCGTGCTTGGAATGCCTTTCAAACTACTGGTACAGCTGTTCGGATGGTTGGTGGTGGCCGTCCAAGGAAAACAAGACCAAGAGATGGCCGTTACATTGTCCTCCAGGCGAAAAGAAACCTTTTTCAGTCAGCGAGCGCCATATCTCAGCAACTGTGCACAGTCACAGGACGACAAGTATAAAGATTTACAGTGGCCAGACGCCTCCACAAAGGTGGCTTATTTGCTAGACGTCCTGAAAGCTGCATACCTTTAAAAGTTAGCCATCGGCGGCACCGTTTAGAGTGAGAACACGAAACCTGGACACCTCATCAATGGAGTCGCGTCCTCTTCACAGATGAGAGTCGTTTTAGTGCTACAAGCGATTCTCAACGTCAGTTGATCTGGAGAGAGGTTGGAGCTCGATTTCATCCCAATAACATCGCGGAAAGAGATCGTTACGGTTGTCCTGGAGTTGTCGTCTGGGGTGGCATTATGTTGAACGGGCGGACTGAACTTCAGATCTTCGACCGAGGTTCCGTAACTGGAGACCGCTACTGCAATGAGGTAATCCTACCCCATGCGCGTCTGTTCCGAGGGGCCATTGGACCAGACTTCATTTTTATGGATGACAATGCCTGGCCACATCGTACTGCTAATGTTCAAGAGTTACTGGAAAGTGAAGATATCACACGAATGGATTGGCTAGCTTACTCTCCATATCTAAATCCCATAGAGCATGTGTGGGATGCATTAGGGAGACGTCTTGCGACACGACAGTATCCTCCTGGCAACCCCCATCAGCTGAAAGATGCGTTAAAGGAGGAATAGAGACGTTTACCCCAAGAACTCCTGAATAATCTGGTGCTTAGCATGGAGAGACTATGCCAAGCAAACAATTACAGTAAGGAGAGGGCATATCCCATACTAGGAAACATCTGCCAGTTGTACTTACGCTTCTTCAGGCAATCATGTGTAACGCCACTGTCAAATAAAGCCTTTTTTTGCTCCATATCCTACTTTAATCTTTATATTCATTTCTGCGCCATTATTCTTTAACCATCGTTTAAGTACAAAATAATGTACATCATATTCAAATTTCATGTCAATCGGATAATTTCTTGTAGAGTTATGACAAAAAACGCACTTGTTGCTTAAGTTTTGCACACCAGTGTATTTTATTTTAGTTATAAGAAAAACTCTAAGTTTGAAAATGACAATTTTTTGAGATTCTGAAATAGCACGAATCTTCTATTTTTAGTATTTGTTTGATAAGGAATATTTTCCTAACATAATAAATTATATACTACCATAAATTATTTTCCTAAAGTTGAGATAAATTTTCACAACTCTTTTATCAAAAATTTTAAAAAGGCAATTTTTAATGAGTGTCGAAATAAAAAATTGTAATTATTTGTGCAAAGTAACCTGTTCTATTTACTTTTTATTACTTAAATAACAATTTAAAAAATAATCTTCATTTTTGGAAGAAAAAAAATAGTGACTAGCCAGCATGGAGTAATGTTAAAGCAGTAGAATGTTTTTAAGTTCTTCATATTCTCAGCTAACTGGCAATAAATCCAAGCTTTACAATAGTCAGTTAGTCGCAGAACTTTACAATAATTTAAAAACGAATGTTTAAATTTAGAGGAAATTAAAGTACAAAAAAAAAAAAAAAAAAAAAAAAAAAAANAAAAAAAAAAAAAAAAAAAAAAAAAAAAAAAAAAAAAAAAAAAACTGGATTAGTGTGTGTATATTATTCAAATTGTATAAATTATTATATTTTTCAAATTGTATCGACTACTGAAAAAACGAACTTAAAAAATAAAAATTTAAAAAAAGCTCTGTAATCACACTATCAAAAACAGGCTTTTATAAAACTCTACATTGTTTTATTCAAACCTCGATCTTTACTAAATTACGTATAAATTATCAGACGACTTTAATAGAAACATCGCGTATTTTATATTTATAAAGAGAAAAATAATAGCAATCGTTTATCAACAGGGGAAAAAAATGTAAAAAATATGAATGAAATTTTACGCAATGTGCGATAAGTCAAGTTCCTCGTAAGTTAACCACAATTAAATATTAATCGCGCCATTTGACTATTTCCTTATTGTCGCCAAATTATTTTCCTAAAAATAATTCATTGTAATTTTTTCGGCTTCTATTAAATAAAAAACAGTTTAAACTTCAGATTTTTCATTGGAAAAATACGGAGATTAATATGATGTAAGAAATGTATGCCTCATAATTAAAAAACATTTCATCCAGAATTTAATTAAGTATTGAATATTAAAAATTGTTTGCATGAAATTATCTTTGAGTAAATCGGTTTCATGAGTAGATGCAATTTTTTTAAAAATGCTCTATTTGTTTTAAAGATATGACTAAAAATAAAATTAACATTAAGGAGATCAAACTTTCATTCACTCTCCTGACTAAACTATTAAGGCCACAATTTCCAGAATGCGTTTTTGAAACCTTTATTTTGAAGGTTAAGAATCCAAACGTGTAGAAAAATATATTTGTTTATACAGAGAGAGTACGTTTTTGTCTCTGATTTCGAAAACATAATTAATAATTAGCATCAAAAAATTAGTATATTTTGGATAACCCTAAATAACCATGTAGATTTACACTTGAAAATTCATGAAAACTTATGTAATGTGAAAACGTATGTTATCGTGAAAACTTGTGTGAATATTAACATTTGAAGAAAATAAAAGCTTTTTTCTTTTTTTGCATATTCCGCAGCGGGAAGAGGGAACTTACCGTTACTGTATAGACAAGTGAGGTCTTGTTTCTGAAATATTTTTTACGCTGAATCAAATTAGACATAAAGACAAGTCAAAGGGACTATTATTTTAAGATTTATAGAAGTTTTTATGCTTCGAAAGTGCAATTTTGTACTTAAATTTTTGCAAACCTGTCATTACTATGAAGACAAGTGACGTATGGTTTACTATATATACATATTTGAAAGTTTTTTAAAGTAAAATCTTATGCTTAGTGTCAAATTGCTCAGAATAAAACAGGTCACAATAAAAAAAAAAATCGAACATTTTGGTAGAAAAACCCTCTAAACCCCTTGAATACTTTTAAAGCAAATGAAAATATGCAAGCATATGTCAAGTATTGACAAGTATATGTCAATGAAGTTCGAATTTATTTTATGTGTTGATTGTTGCTTGTATAATAATAAGTATGGTATATGGTACGTTAAATTTTATTTGTGTTTCAGATCAGAAAATTCGAAGATAATCGATCAGGAAAATTCTCTTCTTTCAGACTTAATAAACTCTCAACATCAAAGGTACGATCCTCATTAACAGACAGTTTTTCTTTTAAATTCTACTACTTTGTAAAACTTATTTAGTCAACTCAACCCCAAAAATGGTGGTAACTACTTTACAACAAGGTGGAGTTGTGAAACACCACAGGTAATCTAGGTGTTTTACTACACCAGTAATACACTACTCGCTGTAAAGTAGCTATACTCCGTTGCAAGTTAAGGAAAGACCACTGTTTTTGTTTTATAGGATTTAATTAATCATCATATAGTTCCGTTTTATTTCGTTATCAAATTATACAAATATGATTTCCAAACAATATAAAAGCTTTTAAAAATTGAACACGTCAGACAGAAATTTAATTCTTCCTATCTTTCACGATGTAGAATTATTAAAAAAAGATTACAGTTTCGTAGTCTTACTGGAATCCTATGGAGTTGGCGACATATTTAGGTAAAAAAATTTTTTTAAGAACATTTGTTCTTCAAAGAGAAACAACTATATGACGTTGCAAGAGCATTGTATTTGATTGGACCACTAAAAATGATGCNAAAAAGATTACAGTTTCGTAGTCTTACTGGAATCCTATGGAGTTGGCGACATATTTAGATAAAAAAATTTTTTTAAGAACATTTGTTCTTCAAAGAGAAACAACTATATGACGTTGCAAGAGTGTGATGTTGCTACATCACACATGCGTTGTTTTCTACTCCTCAATAGTTTTTTCAGTTATTTTTCTGTATCGATTAACCCTACCCTAACTTTAACCGTATATCGTTTTTGCGCTTTCCCGCGTACCTTCTTGGCGTCAGTCGAGGAAGCTACCGTGAGAAAGAAGCAACAGTCTCATTTTTGATACTTTTCAAGTTTTCCTCCCAATATGTTTTTTAAGATATTTCACCTCTCTAAATTTTAAGATGTAAATTAATATTTAAAGTTCCTAAAGTAAAATGTAAGGGAAACCAGATTGTATTTTAGTAGATCTCTGGCAAATAGAGATGTGCAGCACGTGTGCGTTTGTCGCCAATGGTTGGCGGACTTCCATGATAAAATCTTCGATATAACTGCTTATAAATCGTCGGTGCTAGAATTCTTTTTAAAAGGACATAAAAAGAAGGAAGCCTCGTTCGAGTGGAAATGCGTAAGAAATGGTGAAAAGGGAGCCAGCTCCATCAAAGTGAACCAACCGAAAGTTTTGATGAATAAAAAGTTTCTCAACACTTCTTAATGAACTGTGTGCCCTCTTTAACTTCATCTCAAATGCACTAGTTGACCAGTAGAGGAACCTGGAGATCCTTCTAGAACGAGGGGTCAGGTAATTGATTTGAATAACATCTCACTAATACGATCACTCTTTTATGTTTTTATTTATTTCATTCAATATATATATTTAAATCATAATGATATGACAAAGAGCATTGTATTTGATTGGACTACTAAAAATGGTGCGTTTTATGGTGACATGCTCTTGAACAAATCAAATGCCAGACAAAGAATTTTTACTTTTGCTTCGTTGCAGAAGAAAATTGCCTGACAGAAACAATATTTATTTTTCTTTCATAAGTTTCTTTAAATACGAACAGAAAGACGTATATTTGTTATGATTTTCAAATGACTTCAAAATACACCGAGAAAGAGCTGTGGACGACGTAACAAACTTAGTGAGAGGCATTGACACTAGGTGGCTGTGTCTCTATGGCTTCGACTCACCTTTCTTTTGAGTCTTATATCCACGTTTTTAATTATTTCTCGTTTACTTCTTTGTGTTGTTTTACTTTGAGTAAAAGCTATGATTCATAAAGTAACACATGTTGAGTGATCGAACACGGCTTTGTTAAATCACTAAAGAAATAGGTCGGAATTAAAATACTTATTTACCCAGAAAGCATACAACCTTACGGTCACCTTGTATCGGAATTTCCTTTTCATTGTCTCGAACAAACCTTACAATTACCTGGATTTAAGATTATTTTCACATTGAGACTAGTTTTATTCAAGGATTTTTTTTTCGCGCTTCAAAACCCTAAGACAACCTAGATTTAAGATTTTTATATAGAAGGTTGTCTTCCAATGTTTTGGATTAGGGTAATGTGGGTAGAATAGAGCACAGATCTCGTTTTAGGGTTAGAAGGTTTACACGTAAACTGCATAACAAACTTTCTTAGGTTTACATTTAAAGGCTTTTGGTGAGTTAAAATAAACCTTATTTTGCAATCTGGGTATGTTTCAGGATATGTCAAATAGTGGACGACATGGTTGAAGACATCGAATGGCTGTGTGAACTGCGATGTGATCAGTATTTAATTAAAGAATTCATCCAACTCCTCAGAAAGAAGCAAGAACCAGAGAGTCATCAATGCTTGGATGAAATGGAAGTTATGTAAGAACTGATTTCCTAACTTAAAATATCGTCAGCATTGGTTAATTTGCACATTTGAAGTCACCCCTTCGAATCATTGAGTCCTAGTACGTGAAAATCTGATCATCAGATCAAAAGTTATTCAATTTATTTATTGTGCCACTGCACGTACATTTATTAAAGAGATAACGCTTTCAGAACAGGACCCAGAAAGCATGCAACCTTACGGCAACCTTGTTTCGGAATTTTCCTTTTAGTGTCGCGAAAATGTTTGTACCAAAAACCTTTTTTCAAGAAAGCAAAAATATTGAAGTTTCAAACCTTTCATCCTAAAAGGATTAAAAATTATTTTTAAAAGCTTTTTTTAAAAGTATTGTCGCTTAGAAATGGTCACTTAAGTTCCTAATGACGTTTTAGATGACGTCACACTAAAGATAGGATCAAATTGCTTTGCCCATTAAAACTTCATGACAAGCTGGATTTCAGCTGAGCATACAAGACATTGCGAAAATAAACCTAATAATGACCTAGATTTAAGATTATTTTCACCTTAAGACTAGCTTTTTTCAAGGATTTTAAAGGGCTTGAAAACCCTGAGTCAACCTCAATTTAAGGTTTTTAAATAGAAGGTTGTTTTTAAAGGTTTTGGATTAGGGCAATGAGCATAGAATAGAGCAGATTATCACAGATCTAGTTTTAAGACTAGAAGGTTTACTCTTAAATCGCATAAAACCTTCTTTAGGTTTATATTAAAAGGTTTTTGCTGAGTGAAAATAAACCTTATTTTGCTATCTGGAAATTAATCTCTACATCGACAGATTAATACAAATTAATTTAAGGAATTTTTCAGTATCCTCAAAATCAGTTTTCAATTGTCTTATCCAGCATACATCCATTTTTCAATTGGGTGGCTGGGTGGCGCAGTTGGTTTGTCGTCGGCCTTCTGAGCCCAAGTCTGCGGGTTCGATCCCCGGCCCAGACACCGGATTTTCGGGATGCAGAAAATCCTCAGCGGCCATGTCGTATGATTATGCGGCATGTAAAAGATCCCTGGAGTGCCTTATTGGCTCTTGACAATTCCGGCAAAATTAAATTCCTAGTGCACTTTAGCATCCAAATAGAGTCTCGGTGCTGCCATCTAGTGTGGCAGAAACTAGACGTCCAAATTAACATGACCAACGGTATCTCACCCATTGTGGTGGTCCTGAAAGAGTGGATACCACCTCTGGAGAACGCACTAGGTCTGCTCATCGGCAAGACCGATAGTGCAGCTCATTGGAAATAAAATAAAAAAAAAGTTTTTAATTGTAAAATTAAATTTTAAAACATATAAAAATGTTGTGGAATTTTAAATGACTGACTTAAAATCGCATAACTTATAAGGAAAAATCCTTAAAAGCTCTTCAAATTATCAAGATATCTTTTAATATAATAAATAAAGTGACCTCTTTATTTTCTACCTTTTTCAAAAGGCATCGTGCGGAATCATCAAAAGTTTGTTAAGTACGAAAAAGATATTAAGCAAAAACTCAAATAAAAAATGTAATATAAAATCCAAGGCAGTCTCTTCGGAATTCACAGAAATGTGTTTGTTTCTCTAGATTGAATATCCACATGAAAGAAGGAGCTATGATTTCAAGATTTCGAAAAGAATATTCCTCTCATTTATCGGAAGACTTCCTTTTAAATATAGTTTATGGGTTCGAAACAAAAGAAGAATACTTTAGAGAACTTCAACATACATAATCAGCATACATCCATTAAAACAATGCTCATTATTTTGTATCCTTTCGTTACCTTAACATTAGCTTCTGAATAGTCATTGGAGTTATGCAAATTGAATAAGATATCTCTCCTCTCCGTTACTATGGTTTCGTCAAATATGTTTCCCCCCCCTCTATTGCAGTACATTTCAGTCAAACTAAAAAAACTATATTCTTAGTAAATTTCAAAATGCCAAGTCTGACGTGCCCATGGTAACGCTGAATGTAAAGTGCGGAAATAGCGTAACTTGGAGGTGTTCATTTTATTTAGTAAGAGTATAGTTTCTGTCATAATTGGGGACTTGCACTTCAAGAAGAAGATCTCCCATACCCACACGTGACGTCAGACCCGAATAAAATTTCTAATAGTTTATTCATTAAAATTTTTTTTGAACTTTTCTTTTAAATAATATCTCAGAAGGAAGTTTTAAACTAATATTAACAGGCCTCGTAGAAGGAGAAGGGAAAAAACGCAACATCTTTTAGAGTATATATATTCATATGCCAGGCTTCTTTTAAAAAAGGATTAAAAAAAAAACAATTAAAAAAACTTAAAAATATATAATTTGCTCGATTTAACTATAAAAGCAATTGTTATAGCAGAATAATAATACGATAAATAGAATCTTAATCAATCCATGGTCTATTGCAAACGATAGATTCCGGAAAACGACGAATACCGGACAACATAAAACAACGGCATGAAATATGAAAAAGAAATGAACTTATTGAGTTTACAATTAATAAAAATAATTATACGTACAAACTTAAAAAATATTTCAGAAACGACAAAAAAAAAAAAAAANAAAAAAAAAAAAAAAAAAAAAAAAAAAAAAAAGATGAATAAATACAATTATTTATTTTAGAAATTTTAGTTTGAACACGCTCTTTTCTTCTCAACGGAAAAAAAAACAAACATTTTCAAATGATCTTAAAAACAGATAAATTCTTACCGTTGCTTCTGCAAATATTGTCCCTGCTCTGTTTTAGTGTCTATTATTTTGCACTCACAACCACTGATACATCACACGTCATGTCTGAAGCGTTTTACACAAACTGCAACAAATCCTCAATTTTCTTCTTGATCAGGTGTCTTCTTCTCAATAACTTCGGGGTCTCCCCGGCCGATCGCCCGCCAAACGCTGTGCAAACCGTGGAGGTAGCCGATTCGAATCCCGCTGTTACCCTGGATGCATCTTCGTGATGTAATTCTTTGTATTGTGCTACCAGTCCTTCTATTTGTCGTCCCGCAGTGGACTGATCGTTAAGACACGGTTCCCAGCAGATCACCGAAGTCAAGCATCACTGGCTACGGTCAGTGTGCGGGTGGGTGACCACTTGGATCAGTCTGCGTAGGGAGCCGAGGGTGTACGGTATGGGTCCTCGTTAAACTGTGCTACCGTAAAGTGCTCGACTTCGCGCGCAGGTCGTCGGGCTACCGAAGCGGGGGTGCTCCCCTCTGCAGAGGATCAAAATTGTGATGGCATGTCTTCGGATCATCCTCCGGGATGTTTCCCAGACCGTCACCAATAGCCCATTGTGCAGCTCTAGTGCGACGTAAATGAACAACAATTTTCTATTTGTCAAAGGTTTATACGACTAAATTGAAAACACAAGCCTGCAAATGTATGTAAATCCACATCAATAACTTCAATGTCGATAAAATTTCTGAACGATAGACGCGGAAATCTGCTATATTCACAAATGATATAAACGGCTGCTATTAATATTATAAGAATAGAATTCGTGACGGAACCGATAGAATAAGACGATATATAAGGGAAGACGATATATAAGGGAGAACGAAAGATGCGGGAACGAGATTCGACTCCCTATTTTTAATTTCCAAATCACTTTGTACAGAACAAAATGGTATTATCATGCATCGCGTATTTAAAAATGATATAAAAAAATTAGCTTTGGCTGAGCTAAGACTGTTGTTGTTGTTAATTTACGTCGCACTAGAGCTGCACAATGGGCTATTGGCGACGGTCTGGGAAACATCCCGGAGGATGATCCGAAGACATGCCATCACAATTTTGATCCTCTGCGGAGGGGATGGCACCCTCGCTTTGGTAGCCCGACGACCTGCGCGCGAAGTCGAGCACTTTACGGTAGCACAGTTTAACGAGGACCAATACCGCACACACTCGGTCCCTACGCAGACTGATCCAAGTGGTCACCCACCCGCACACTGACCGTAGCCAGTGATGCTTGACTTCGGTGATCTGCTGGGAACCGTGTCTTAACGATCAGTCCACTGCGGGACTAGCTAAGACTGAAAATAGCTTATTGGAGAAGAAAATGGTGCTAATTTTTTGTTATGAAAAGAAAATGAGAGATTAAAACTAGACAAGGCATTTTAAAAAAATGGAAGGGCATATAAGTGACTAAAATGATGGTTTCTTATGCTACTAAAGAAGTGATAATTACAGCCTCCAAAAAACTTGCAACTATTTGCCATGCTGTAGCTAAAAAAAATCATTTATACAAGTTCATGTTCTAATTTCATTTTTGATGCAATAAATGAATTTAGAAAGAGATAAGTTCATCATACTTTAATAATGCATTTCTTTTCCCATTATTTATCAAACTATTCCCTTTATCAAGTAAATGTTAAAGTTAATTTAAGTTGTTTTGTTATTTCAAGTTGGAGAGGATTGATTGCTTTGCATCATTTAAATATTTCGTGAATATAAAATTTTATTTACTAAATTTATTTGTAAGCATACTGTAAATATATTTAGGGAGAAAGAAAATGATTCAAAATCAGCGATTTTAAAATTTATTTTTTGGTTATCCATTTACGTCGCATTAGAGCAGCACAATGGGCTATTAGCGACGGTCTGGGAAACATCCCTGAGGATGATCCGTTGACATGCCATCAAAATGTTGATCCTTTGGAGAGGGGGTGCCACCCCCACTTCGGTAGCCCGACGACCTGCACCGAAGTCGAGCACTTTACGGTAGAATAGTTTAACGAGGACAAATACCGCACACCCTCGGTCCCTACGCAGTCTAATCTAAGTGATCACCTTGCCGCACACTGACCGCAGTCAGTGATGCTTGACTTCGGTGATCTGCTGATATTGTAAAAGAATTATAAATTTAGTTGTTTGTGTGCGCACTTTCAGAATATTCTTACTTAGAAAAAGGTTAATTTACTATTATCATTAAAAAGGATAAATATTGCGGACAAAAATATAATTATAAAATTACGTTTGGTTACTAAAACCACCAAATCGAACCGTTTTGGCAACCA